ATATATATATATATATATATATATATATATATATATATATAAGGGAAATATATGACAAAATGGAATATGTTTTGGTTGACACATTTCCTCGTATAGTTTGTTAAGCTCTGATTCCCATATTTCATATGGAGAATGGTTTTCTATTGCGTGCATAAATATCCGTAGTAATCATTCGTAATGTCTGTATTATTGTTCGAATGATTTTTGTCTTTCTATTTCCTGGTCGTTATATTTTGAAAGTTTTTGTTTTTTCTTTCAAATTCTTTAGCTGAGAAAGTTTGTTTGTTTTTTCAATGCTACTTATAAGAAGTAGCATTGAAAAAAACTTTCTCAGCTAAAGAATTTGACCTAGAAAATGAAAGGCAAAAGGTAGCGTTAAAAGACAAAACTCATTAATTTTTATCAAACACTTACTTTATTTGATAATGCTGAATATTCCATCTGATCTATGGAGGATGGTATGTATGGTGACGTCCTAGAACACTGTAATATTTTTACCTTTTTATCATAAGTGTTGGTTTGTATTCATAATATTTTTCTGCATGAGGAAAGTTATAATGTTGGTATATATTCCACTGAAGGTATTTCCCTATGCCAAATAATTTGATTCATGAAGCCAAAGATGAAAACTTAGACAATAGAGACTGAACTGTTTTCTAGGCATTTTTTACAAAAGTGACATTTTAGAATTGCCTCATTCATTAACATGAGCGTCTGATAAGATTTTTCTGCGCTAGTTTGATCTTGATCCGTTAAGATGAATCTCAGTGTTTCTGTTTTGCTTCCAGAACTGCCCAACAACGGATAGATCTTCTTTTTTTTTATCTGGATTGTGTATTAAAAATAACTACCAGACACGACAGGGTGTTTCTTCCCGTTTGGTTTCCAGCTTGTGTAGACTCATGATTTTTTAATGATTTTTTTGTTATTATTACTTTTTTTGCTTTTATTATTGCTTCTTTTCATCATCATCATCATCATCATCATCATCATCATCATCATCCACAACAGCTTATAATTCTGATTATTCCTTTAAAGTCATTTACGTCATGTCAGTCCGTTTTGTGGGCGTGGGCAACCAAAAAAGATATAACAAAGAAACTGTTTGGTTCGAGTGATAGATAGATAGATAATGGCAATAGATAGATAGATAGATAGATCATGGCAATAGATAGATAGATCATGGCAATAGATAGATAGATAGATAGATCATGGCAATAGATAGATAGATAGATCATGGCAATAGATAGATAGATAAATAGACAGATCATGGCAATAGATAGATAGATAAATAGATAGATCATGGCAATAGATAGATAAATAGATAGATCATGGCAATAGATAGATAGATAAATAGATAGATAGATCATGGCAATAGATAGATAAATCATGGCAAGAGATAGATAAATAGATAGATAGATCATGGCGATAGATAGATAGATAGATAGATAGATAGAAGCGTATGCCCTAATTTCCAGTTTAAGATTGTGTTTCCGGTTCCTTCTAAAGCCTTTGCCTTCTCTTTCAATTCAGGTGCCCCCCTCCTTGCGCTTTGGTGGTATTATCTCCTTGTTTGGGGTGGTGCCTCTTACTCTGTAACACCCTACATATCGAGTCACCCTTGGGCCTTGTACAGGGTGAATACCATTGTAAAGACGGTGTGCCAAGTTCACACGTTACTACAGGAACTACTACATTAGTCAGATTTTATAGCTTCTTTAATTCCTGAGCCAGATCAGAGTGTTTTCAGTTTTTTCAATTTATTTGAAAACCACTCTTTTTCAACAATAAAAATCAATAATTTACCGTTTGCTATTGTCTTTGGCATTATGATGGTACATTTATTTTTATTTTCTAAGACATGTGTATCTATTTTAGTGTTAGATGAATTCTGTCTAAAAAAACTGTTATAGGGAAGATATTCAGATATATTTTTAATAAATTTTCTGTTTACGAATATTCGTTATTTCTTTTAAAGATTATCTTCAATTATCCGTACCTGTGGCCGCGGACAGCTATATCGCTAAAGTTATTCGAAAATGTTTTCGTCATGTTCTTGTTGACCTATGAGACGTTTTTAAGTGTCTTATTTCCAGATGTTATTTTAAATTTTAAACATTGCTTTACAAAATTTTATCTTTGTTTTAGCGGGATCTTTTTTCACATACTTGGAAGTTGCAGATTCATTTGAGTTCTTCTCCTGCAGTATTCTTTGTATTCTATTCCCTCATTCCCTCGTATTCTTTGTATTCTATTCCCTCATTCCCTCGTATTCTTTGTATTCTATTCCCTCATTCCCTCGTATTCTTTGTATTCTATTCCCTCATTCCCTCGTATTCTTTGTATTCTATTCCCTCATTCCCTCGTATTCTTTATATACTATTCCCTCATTCCCTCGTATTCTTTATATACTATTCCCTCATTCCCTCGTATTCTTTATATACTATTCCCTCATTCCCTCGTATTCTTTGTATTCTATTCCCTCGTATTCTTTGTATTCTCTTAGACTTTTATTCTGTCTCTTACTTTTAATCCATCTACTTTTAAGTAAAACAGAAAGACAGGCCTGGGGATGTGTTTCTTTTGAAGTCAGACATCTTATGTGTATGGACGACATTTGCACAAATTGCGATTTTGCACTAAAATGTACTTACATTAATTTTTATGAGATACTGCGTTTTCGGGGTATTTGTTTTTTCATTTAAGTATAGCAGCTGTTGTAGGAAAAAGAATTGTAGCCATCGTACACAAATTTTACATTTACAAATTTTAATAAAGGTTAATAACTATTATTTCGTCATTTCCTTCTATTGCTGGAAAGGGGATCAGACTATATATATATATATATATATATATATATATATATATATATTATGAGATTTTTATCAATTGACCTCCCAACATTTTATTTTAAAAAAACCACTAATGAACGCTATATTATTTTTTTTTAAATAGATAAACAAACGCACGACGTTAGTTGTGATAAAAAAGGAGGAGGAAAAGTGAAGAAGGAAGGAAAGAAAGAAGGTAGTGGTGGTGGAGAAAAAAGCAAGTATATTATAAATATATCGGTATGGGGTTAATTTAAATTTACATACTTTCTTATACAGCCTCGTATGAGTTTAAGAGGAATTTTTCTGTATGCATGCAACGGCTCATGATTTCCGATCTCTGGTTCAAAATGTTCTTTGGATCCGGAAATGACATTATTGCCATTTAAAAATTAAGCGTTGGGAGGTCAACTGATAAGAGTCGCCTGAGGATACCGTAAGGTTGAAACCAAGTTAGTGGAATCAACTTATCTCCTAATTTTTAAAGTTAAATGCTCTACATGCTATTTTTCTCACGAGCATTGGGGAACATTTTAATTCTGCTATTTCCTGGCCCATTTCAACTGACCATTAACCTTTTATGCATTATATATATATATATATGTATATATATATATATATATATATATATATATATATATATATATATATATATATATATATATATATATATATATATATAAAGAGAGAGAGAGAGAGAGTTAAAAAATGTATATATACACATATATAATAACAATATCTTGTACAGATATTGTAATACCAAATCTATTCGGATATGAGATTAATACAAGTTACCTTTGGATTCTACAATCGCAAGAGATGCTAACATAGATGTTTTTCGGCTTGTAGGCATTTATTTGTACAGCGAACTACTGACCAAAACGTCTAATTGGATTGCTGCACATGCATTTCTAATTTTTTGTCTAAGGTCCGCCAGTGTAGTCGGTTCCTTGCGACACGCAATTTCTTTTAGGAATAGTTGTTGTTGTTACAATCGTGGGGGTAAAGCCATCTGTCAAGAAAATACTGCAGGAAAAAGTGTTATCGCAATTTGATAAAACTACGAAAGACAAGTTTTTCCTGTCTTGAAGACTGTATGCATTATTTTGACAGATTCTCTGTCTCTCTCTCTCTCTCTCTCTCTATATATATATATATATATATATATATATATATATACATATATATATGTGTGTATATATATATATATGTGTGTGTGTATATATATATATATATGTATATATATATATGTGTGTGTGTGTGTGTATATATATATATATGTGTGTGTATATATATATATGTGTGTGTGTGTATATATATATATATATATATATATATATATACACAGTGGTGGAAATAAGTATAATACACATCATGAAATTGTTAATAATTTTTCTTATTACTGCAAAAATTCCTATGAAAATTTGTGTGTGGTATCTAGATCCGATGGTATTAAGATACATATTCGATTTAATAACAACTTTCCACCAAACAAGTTATTAAGAAAGGTATTAAGAAAAATACATTTTCGATAAATTTTGGAAATTCGTATTTAACACCCAAATTGTACAAAATTCAATATTTACATCTATTCCCTTTCAATTGTAATACTTCAACACACCTGTTTTGCATTGAATCAATAAGTTTTCTGAGAGTTTCAGATGGAATTTTATTCCAATACTTTTTAATGCAAGATTTTAAAGTTTATATATCTTCAAAGTGCCGTTCATTTTTGTATACTCTTCTTGACAAAATTCCCCACAAATTTTCTATTGGGTTTAAATCTGTAGACTTAGTTGGCCATCCAAAACATCAATATTTTTTTTTGTTGTTTTAAACCAGTCATTCATGAGCTTAGAAGTGTGTACGGCTGCGTTGTCCTGTTGAAAAATGGCATTATTGGTATCTAGACGATTCATAAATGGGACCAGCCTTTTTTTTTCAACACATTGAAATATCGAGCAGGATTTTGTTTTCCTTTCATCCCAACTAAATCAGCCTTTCCTGACACAGAAAAAGTTCCTCAAACCATGACAGATCCGCCTCCAAATGGTCTTTTTGAAAACAGCTGCTTTTCCTTTCTTAAATTATGCCAATAACACTGGTAGCCGCCGGATCCATCCAAATTAAATTACATTTTCCCATTTCTCCTTTGTCCATGTTACTTTTTTCTTTACCCAATCTACGCACATTTTCTTGTGATTAGCAGTTAATAAAGGAGCTTTCTTCCTGTTTCGATACACGCGATTTGGCGATTCATGGAGAAGTTGACGAAATCTTCTTGGAGTGATGGTTAAATTCTGAGATTTTTGCAGATCTCATGAGCTTGATTGTCCTTTATAAGCTTCTCGAAAAAGTCGATGTCTAGCTGCATTTGTAATTTTAGGTGAACAACCTGAGAGTTTTCTGGTGCCATACGATTCAGGGTCCTTTAGATAATTTCCCACAACTGTTCGGGATCTTGACAGTTCTCTTGCAATGTAACTTATAGATTTTCCTTCCAGTTTATAGGCAGAAATTTGCCCGTTTTCATTTTCATTAAGGGGGAGTTCCTAGGCATTTTTCAGTAACTGTATTCAATTATGAAATGTTTAACTAGGACTCACGTGGCTTAAAATCATGATAGTCTTTTATAATCTGCACATGCACTTATTCTTCCTTTGGCATTCTGAAGTAAACCAGATATGCAAATTTTCAAAACTGTCTTATAATTAATTCCACCCTCGAAAACAATGTTTCGTTAATAACTTTTCTTTTTGGTGTAAAGTTTTTATAAAATCCAATATGTATACTAATACCCATTGGATCTAGGTGCCACACACAAATTTTCAGAGGAATTTTTGCAGTAATAAGAAAATTATTAACAAATTTCATGAGGTGTCTTATACTTATTTCCACCACTATATATATATGAGAAACTTTATCAATGCAAGTGTGGAAATTTTATTTAGTAAACTCTACTTATATATATATAAAAACAATAACTCATTTCCAATAGCATTTTCGGATACAACAATACATATATTTTCGTTGTCCTCTTATTACTAAGAGAAAAAACAAGAACAACATCTATTCTATACCTGAAGATGTCTGTAGGAACAGACGAAAGCTTGTAGTAAAAATAAGAACTAATACGGCAGACATTTATATAAACAAGGATCATTTCATTCATAACGGATTCGGAGGTTTTTGTATATTATTTGAATTGTTTGCGACGATGGATTTCTCGCCAATTAAATCATTAACCTTTGCATTTTGTTTTTGTGTGAATAATTCATGAATATATATATATATATATATATATATATATATATATATATATATATATATAAAGCAACACGGAGAAAATAACGTCATTCCTTCAAGGTTTGACTTGAGAACCCTCGAATATATGCTAAAATATTACTGTGTAAAGGCCAGGTCAGTTAAGGAGGATGCTAAGTAACATAATGTTTCTGCTTATTAATGGAAAGTGAATTGATGTTGCTACTGTTATATATTTTTTTAAATAATATTAAAATAGTAATTACAATTACCATAAAATATAATCATTATAATTATTATATAATTACATATAATGAGTTAATGAATAAATAAATACATAAAAATCAATATAGACAAAACATATCTCGTTTAATAAGCCAAAAAATTTCGTCACTTACACTTCCTTCACCATAATTTACTTTTCTTTTGCGAATGAATGCAGTACTCGTATGATGAATGTAAGAACTTATTTTTTTCACATAACCTCCACCTATAAAATAGCAAACATTGCATCTCTTTCTGGATTACAAAAACTTAATTTAATATTAATAAATGAAATTGATATAATGGAATATGCATACATCTGTGTTCCCCCTCACTGGAATATGATTAGCTGGTGTCCGTCATAAATACCGACGGACGTGTAGAAGAGTCAAGAGCCTTTGTCTGAGAGCTAAGTCTATAACGACGCCCATTGGACTACGCCATTGATCTACACTTCTTACCTGCGACTACGACGCGTACCAGTCGATTATTGCTACCATATTCTACTTGGTTATAGTAGCCAAAACCACTTAGCTTCTTCATTCAAATATATCCCTTTCCGGGACATATCGGAAATAACAAGAAGAAAAGAAAAATACGCATTATGTTGATTCCTCCATTGGTTACTTTCCTTTCCTTAACATCGTGGGATAAATTTTAGAACGTTTTTGAATTGAAATTTGAACGCTAGCG